TCTGAGGTGAGTATTGAAGAACAGTCTATGGAAATTGTTTTCTTGCTTCTGCTACTATAAAGTTTTGGATGTTTTAGGGGCCAATTATGCATTTTATATTGTTACTGTTTTGCTGTATTTGGAATATGAACTGCATTGTGATTTAAAAAAGAAAAGAAAAAGAAAAGCAGTATAAATAAATAAATGGTAGCCAAACTGTTTTCTTTTCAGGCTCGGCTGAGTCCTCTGACTTGCCTCATAATGGGACTCATTCTATTTCAGCTATTTACAAATAGCCTTAAAATGGTGAATGAGGACAATTCAATTCCCAGGTCTCAAAGACATGTGCCTGTTAACATGCAGGCTGATATGGCAGTTTTAGAACTGTGAGGTACTGCCCCATTTTCAAAACATTTTAAGCATCCTTTAGCTGTGAAATTTTTACTTAACTATCTCAAGCTTCTAACTTACAAGAATCAATTACCCGTTTAGGTTTTTACTGAAGCATGTTGCAGCTCATAAACAGATCAGCCGCAGCAACATATTGTTTAATCTAACACAACAGAACTTTTAAATTCAACCTCAAAATTGGTTTTGAAAAGAACATCCAAGAGTGGGAAATGTGTGGAACACAGAGGGCATTTATGAGGAAAGGTGGGAGGCACGGAATCAAAATTTGGGATCCACATTCTCAAAAGTCCTAATATGCACAAAAGGAACATCCAAATCTATGAGGGCTTTTCACAGCACAAACGGATGAATGCTATTTTGTATAAATGGCCAGAATACAGAGCTGCTTTTCCAAAGTAAAGCAGTATTTTCTGTGATTTATTGAATTCTTTCCCCCTAATGTAACTGGATATGTTCCCATTTGACATCCAAAAGGTGCGCAAATCCATAAAAAGGATCAGTAGAGAGTCAGCTGTACACCCAAAACTCAAAAATGTTAACACACACAATATGACTATTTAATAATTCCCAGAAGCAGAACATGCAATTAATATATTGTATCCCCAGGGACAAGACTTAATAGGATGTGTGTTCCAAGAAATGAACACAGCTGTTGGGCACCTTATTTTTGGCTATTAAAATAGCAAAGGACTTTTCAGGAGAGTTCTCATGTCTCACAGTGTAAACTATTTTTAAGATACAAACTATCTTTAAAAAATGTCAGTCTCACGAATACTTTGAAAATATAATGTCTTCCAGGGGTGGGGGTGGCAATCTAAGCAATAATACCTTCTCTAGCTTTCTAATCATAGAATCCTTTTTTTAAAAAAGTGTCTTATTTATTTATCATGTGTAATTTTATTCCCCCCCCCTTTAATCCCAACAGGGTGCTCACAGAATAAGACATGAAAACCACTATAGACCCACCAATAAAAATAACAGAATAAAAAGGAGAGCCAGTGAATATTTAAAGCAATTTTCAAACCAGCATTCTAAAAGCCTGGGCAAATATAAAGATATTCACACCCTCCGCTGCACATGTTCCAGCTTGTCAATATCCTTCTTAAATTCTTTTGGCCAGAACTAGACACAGTGCTCCAGGTGTGGTCTGACCAATGCATCAAAAAATGAATTTGCATGGGGACGGCTATGGTTGTTGCTCAGATGTAGAGCCTAATGAATTATACAAGTAACTCCCCTACACTTCCCAGACTAATGTAGGGATCTCCATGCAGCTGTCTTTCGGCTTTTGAATATCTCTGAATTTCATGGGGGTGTATTTTGCTCAACAAATTTTGATTCAATGCATATAAAATGCAATTTTATGATGAAATGTGTTTGAAAATGCATATTTCAGGACAAAATGGATACAAAAATGCATCTTCTAGCATAAAATATGTAGCAAAGTGTGCAAATTTGGTGCAGGGTTTTTTTTAAAAAAAAATATTATTATTATTTACAAACGTTTTCAGAAAGCTATAGAAAGACAGAATGGTTTTATGAATGAACATATGCAGCTGGAAGTGGATTGATTCATCCATCCCCTGATATGCCATATAAACGAACCTTTTATAACACAACAGTGGAGTGAGTCTCCTAATACCAGCACATGAACACATACCTACACAGACATATTGTGAAATAAGTTAAGAATAGATTTCACTATAATCTTGGCATTTCACGATCTTTCTGAGTTTCACTTACCATCATCATAACATCGTTTCTACGTGTGAATAATGCATGCCACATGTTGGGTGTAAAACTGCACTGGAAAAAAGCATTCTTGACAGAGAAGTATTATGTTTTTTATTGGCATATTTTATGAATAGAGTCTCTGAATAAAATTCCATTCTCTGTATATAAAAACATATGTTAATCTGAAATGAAAGGACTGTAGATGTATGCTCTTCTATGTTCTGCATTTATGGAAGTACAAACGTCATTTACGAGCTTTGTAAAGGTAAATTACATGGTAAAGAATACACTTGCTAAGGTGTAGTTAAAACATGACATGCTGAAATCAAGAGCTTTGACTCTAAGAAGAGGAACAAGCTTAAAGTGCTACTTGTACGTTCTGCTGTGAACATTGGCTAATGCCTATATTCTTTGCTGAACAGACAAGGTTGTGCTCTTGCATAGAAATGGAAAACTGCAGGCCTTTGTTAACCCATCCCAAATATCATGTGTGGGGTGGAGAGGAGGTTTCTCTCATTTCTAGCAAAACTAAGAAGGTCAGTTTTCCTGAACTCAAGAAACTGATGCAGGATTTAGTTTTGATGAGGCCCTAAGCTACTGAAGGTAATGGGGCCCTTTATATGTCAACAACAAATTGTCGCTGTTTTTTGTGTTGAATATACAGTGGTACCTCAGGTTAAGTACTTAATTTGTTCCAGAGGTCTGTTCTTAACCTGAAACTGTTCTTAACCTGAAGCACCACTTTAGCTAATGGGGCCTCCTGCTGCCGCCACGCCGCCGGAGCCCGATTTCTGTTCTTATCCTGAAGCAAAGTTCTTATCCTGAAGCACTATTTCTGGGTTAGCGGAGTGTGTAACCTGAAGCGTATGTAACCTGAAGCGTATGTAACCCGAGGTGCCACTGTATACTATATGATAATTTATGGACCTAATAGGTATCTAAAGCCATTTGCACATAACAAATAGGAGCCTACACAACACAAAACACTGTGGCTATATGTAGGTTTTATTTTATTTGCTTTTTATCTGATATTTTGGAAATGTACATCCAGGATTTTTTTCCTTCAATTTTTTTGGGGCCCCCCAAGAGAGTGAGGCCGTAAACTATAGCTTGTTTAGCTTATACATAAATCCGGCACAGAAGTGATGGCTAAACTGAATCTGGGTGGGAGATCAGGCACTTGTCTTGCCCGTTCCCATGTAAGGACATTCACAAGACAGCTACCTTACAATTTCTCCAGCTCTGACTGACTCACCAGTTACAGCCCTTTTTGACAAAAAGAACTTGGCCAATGTTCTCCATGTCCTGGTAACTTCCAGATTAGATTATTGCAATGTGCTATACATAGGAAGAGCCCTGAAAGACAACCTGGAAACTTTGGTTGGCCACCTGGCAATCAAATTTTGCACCAGCTGAAGTTTACAAACCCAATACAGTGGTAAGGTAAAGGTAAAGGGACCCCTGACCATTAAGTCCAGTCATGGCTGACTCTGGGGTTGCGGCGCTCATCTTGCTTTATTGGCTGAGGGAGCCAGCGTACAGCTTTCGGGTCATGTGGCCAGCATGTCTAAGGCGCTTCTGGCGAACCAGAGCATCGCGCGGTAATGCCGTTTACCTTCCCGCTGGAGCGGTACCTATTTATCTACTTGCACTTTGACGTGCTTTCGAACTGCTAGGTTGGCAGAAGCTGGGACCGAGCAACAAGAGCTCACCCCGTCACGGGGATTCGAACCGCCGACCTTCTGATCGGTAAGTTCTAGGCTCTGTGGTTTAACCCACAGCGCCACCCACGTCCCTAATACAGTGGTACCTCAGGTTAAGTACTTAATTTGTTCCGGAGGGCCGTTCTTAACCTGAAACTGTTCTTAACCTGAAGCACCACTTTAGCTAATGGGGCCTCCTGCTGCCGCGGTGCCGCCGGAGCACGATTTCTGTTCTCATCCTGAAGCAAAGTTCTTAACCTGAGGTACTATTTCTGGGTTAGCGGAGTCTGTAACCTGAAGCGTATGTAACCTGAAGCATATGTAACCCGAGCTACCACTGTATGTTGTAAATTGTTTTCACTGGTTCCTTATAGCGGTGCTTTACCTGACTAATTTATTATTTTTACTTTATAATTTATTGCTGTTTTGTTTGTATAAAATCTGTATCTATAACATTGTAATTATATTTTGTAGTATTAATGCTGTGAGCTGCCTTGAGCATCACATGGGATAGAATTTCAATGGATTAATAAATCAAATATTATGATTATGAATAATTTTAAGCCAATTTTAGTATAATACCAGTGGCATGAGAACTAGTACACAAGATTTAAGACAAAATTGGCTTTAATTTCATATGACATTTAAAAGAAACTATCAACTTCCTCACTCCAATTCTAGCAACTTTACTTGATCTATGGATCCCATAAGACTAAATTCAACCAAAGATAAGCATTTATGAAAAACAGAATTATTGGTGGTGGTTGCTTCTTCTTTTTAAAAAGTACTCCATAAAAGATCATTTCTCAATAAATCTTAGAAAATGCAAGCAAACAGCTGTTTCAATATAGTTTCCTTAAACACAGCCTGCTCTAATTGTGTTGCTATAAAAAGGCAATAATGGAATTATGTAGAAATTCTGTAGGAAAACTAAAACAGTCAGTTTTAAAATAATGAACAGAGACTCAGGTGCAATCTACACACATATTAAAAAAACACTGTGAAAATGCTTTTCTAAAAAATAGTTTTGAAAAATACATTGAATTTTGCATAGCTCCCTGTCGCCATCTAGTGTCACATTTGTATATTGCACTTTACAACACATTTAAAACGTTTTATTTGCAGCTGTGTAGGTGAGTCCTTAGTATACAAGAATACAGTTCAGGTGGAGGCGAAAAGCTCAGTGGCAGAGTACATGCACTGCATGCAGGTGGTTCAGGTTCAAACCCTGATATCTCCACTTAAAAGGGCCCAGGCAGCAGCTCTTGGGAAAGATGGTTAGCTGATCCCCGGAGAACTAGCAATCAGCATAGATGGTTTGGGATTAGATGAAACAATACTCTGACTTGCTTTAAGGCAGCTTCCTATATTTACAGACACAAAGGGCAGGATTTAAATAATTTGTTGCAAGTGGGGAATAAGGTCCACTCCCACAACAAACTTTCCCTTCTCTCACCTTTCCCCCATGCCCGCCCCTACATCTGCTCTGGAGAGTTGGAAAGGGACCCAAAACAAGTTTAGGAGGTCCAAGGGTATGGGGTTTTTTAAAATTACGAAACACACAGGTGAGTTTTAATTATTTTTTAATTCAAAACAGGTCTCCAAATATTCAAAACAGGTCTCTTTGATTTCCCAATAATGGACCTTCATATTTGGCGAATGTATTATTGGGAAGGCCTGGCAGGAAAACATTAGTGGTGAAATGGAAAAGGCAATAAAAGTGCAGGAAGCTAACCTAACCTGCTTTATTTATGCCTTGAGACTTCACTGAAGATAGGCAAAAAATGATATTAGTATCAACTGGTCAACTTTGCCAGCAATAAAAGTGAGCTTCCTTGAAAGGAAATGAAGTGATACGAAGCTAATGTTACGCATAAGGAGGGAACCAAATACTATGCAGCTGTTCAGAGTATTCCCTGCTGATTCTAGAACTTTGGTTCAGCGATTGTCAAAGATGTGTTGCATAATAGTTAGGTCGCTCCAGGTAAATTTCCTACTAGAAAAGTAAAATCTGGAAATGTATTTAGAAATGTTGACTCCCTACTCTCCTGGCAGTACATACCTTTAAAAGATAAGGGCAACCAAGGTCACTTAGGGTATGCCACACTCTTCCATAGTTGGCATATGGGGAACGCATTGTACCTGGCTTGCCAATGAACAAGGGGGAATTAGACCTGCCAGCAAAGCTGTAAATTCCAAACATTACTATTGCAGACATTGCTATTGCCACAAAACAAGGCAGATGGCTCTTGTTCAATAACAAGCACTAACATCTGAAACTTCCATGGACTCTGACGTATTCTTCACTAATGTCCCTATGCATAAGCTAAACACATTACCGCATCTTCCAGGTGCAAAATGGTGAGGGAATGAAAAGTGGCAGATGCAGAAACAGACTACAATCAGCAGGCCTGCTGTCTGAATATCACAATTTTCTAATCCATTAAAAATATATCTATCTTAGAGTACTTATGCCTTAGCCCTTGGAGGATCCTAAGTAATGATAATGCTGACCTCAGACCATTCTGTTCAAATGGTGCAGTTTCGCCAGTTTATGTAGCTATCTACCATTCAAAATAAGAATGGCTTTAGGGCCAAATCTACCATAAGTTTGATGTTGTGGATTTTTGTTAAACAAATAGTCAGCACTGACAGGTGAGCTGTAATAATAATAATAATAATAATAATAATAATAATAATAATGTATTTATACCCCACCCATCTAGCTGGGTTTCCCCAGCCACTCTGGGCGGCTCCCAAGAGAATATTAATAATATTAATAAAAAAGCAATAAAACATCAAACATTGAAAACTTCACTAAACAGGGCTGCCTTCCAATGTCTTCTAAAAGTCAGGTAGTTGTTTATTTCCTTGACATCTGATGGGAGGGCATTCCACAGGGCGGGTGCCACTACCGAGAAGGCCCTTTGCCTGTTTCCCTGTAACCTCATTTCTAGCAGAAGGCCCTTGGAGCTGGACCTCAGTGTCCGGGCTGAATGATGTGGTTGGAGATGCTCCTTCAGGTCTACTGGGCTGAGGCTGTTTAGGGCTTTAAAGGTCAGCACCAACACTTTGAATAAGAGGTAGGCAACCTAAGGCCCAGGGACCAGATGTGGCCCAATCGCCTTCTCAATCTGGCCCACGGATGGTCCGGGAATCAGAGTGTTTTTACATGAGTAGAATGTGTGCTTTTATTTAAAGTGCACCTCTGGGTTATTTGTGGGGCATAGGAATTCATTCATTCCCTCCCCCCAAAAAATATAGTCCGACCCACCACATGGTCTGAGGGACGGTGGACCGGCCCATGGCTGAAAAGGTTGCTGACCCCTGCTTTGTGCTCAGAAACGTACTGGGAGCCAATGTAGGTCTTTCAGGACTGGTGTTATATGGTCTCAACAGCCATTCCCAGTCACCAGTCTAGCTGCTGCATTCTGGATTAGGGCCATGGCAGGGAAAAGAAGCTTTAACCATAGACTGCTAGTCACAATTGACCTCTTCTGTAAGAACTCAGGGGTGATCGAGGGAGGCCAGTAGTGCCCACAGTATCCACAGCAATTGCAGGACCTTGGAGAGCCCCCAGTGTCCTGCTGAAGCAGCTATATGAGCTTTTGACTCTGCAAGTACTAGATTGCACTGATGCCTCATATACCTCATATTGTCTCATATGCCTCATATTAACCTGACTTGTAGTATAATAAAGTCCACCTTCCCAGAGGAGCATGGTAGCTGTTACAAGGCCTGTGCCTTTTGCAGTATTTGATTCCTGAAGGGCTAGGGGAACAGGAGGAGAGCAGAGGATCCCTTCAACTGGGTCTTTAAGAAGGTTCTGGCATTTCTTCCTACCTTTGTGGAAGGAGAGGGTGTTGGAGAAAACTGTCAGGGAGGCTGAGAGTGAGAAATGTGCATTTCCAAGATTTCTCAGAAAAAGACGTAGAGGATTCTCTGAGAATCCTATTAGAAGGCAAGATAAGGTTGATAGGTGTCTATGTTGAGGGGAGAGAGAGAAAGAGAATGAGAGAGAGAACCCATCATGTTTATGGGTGAAATGGGAATTCCAATCTCATTATGTATTTTAAAATATATGCATAAGTATATATGCAACAATGATTTTAAATGATTTTTAAAAGGTGGGCCTTTAAATGGGTTAAAAAAAAGAGAAGAAGCAAAGGAAAATTATTCACAACATTAGAGAGATATAATTAAAATGTTCAGCAGTCTTTTGCTTCAGGAACATTTTGCTTCCATCATACAAAAGGCTAGATAAATCCTGATTATGTTTTTCTTGATAGTTTATGTTTTCATAATTCATATAATATGCATCCTCAGTTCATACACTCCAGCTGGTTGCTTTTTAGAGGACACTATTACATAGTCTTTAGGTCTCCTACATTAAGGATGAAAGGCTAAATTCATTTACCTGGAAGATCAGTATAATGCAGAGGGCTTTATTCCTATGTAGACAAGAATAGGAACTGCACTGAAAATAAACTTTTTCTGTAAACACTCTCCTTTCATGTAGTCATCTGTCAAGCAAGTAGATTGTTTTTAGCACCATCTACAGATTATATAAACTGTAATTCATGGATTTAAGAAATTATAATTTAGCTGTTTGCTTGGTAATGAGACATGTATTCTGGTGATTTCATCTGTCGAGAACTTTACTAATATCTTGGTCTTATGCCTAACTGTGCAGATTTGTATTTGATCTTTAAATAATTGACATACTACACTCAAATATAGCAAAATGCTTGTATCAACTCTCAAAACCTGCAGCCGTCTGCAAGAAGACGTTCCACTCCAAAATAAACAACAGATCCTGCATAGGCATATGGTTTAAATAATCTATGGATAGCGTGCAGTCAGAAATAGTTTATTCTGCACATCTGTAACATTGCTCCATTTTTAAAAGACACCATTTTTCTTATTAGAGCATATATATATATCCCTTGACAGTGTTAAAGAATCTGCTTCAGAAAAAGCATAAAACCTCTTTGGGCAATTCAGTCCATATTTCATTTAATCATTTGTGCTGCTTTTGTTACTTTTATACTTTTCAGGCAGGATAAAACAAAGAATAATGGCACATATTTGCCTTCTATGAGAAGAAAAAACCTAGATCAGCAGCAGACTAAAATATTGCTCTTAATTTATCATTTGTGTTTCTCCCATCAATTTGTGGACTAACACCTATTGACAAGGAGGCAGAGCAGAAAGGCATTAGAATGACATGGAATTACATAGATTTGCCTATTCTTGGTTAACACCTCACCAGGAATGGGACTTGATGGCTCTCTCCTTGTTTAGTGCTCGTTGTTGTCATGCTGATCCAGTTCAGGCCAATATTTAGTCCACTTTTGTATTTTTGGCTCATCCCATAGTGGGGATATTTACATGAACTTGAATTTGCTGTCAATATTTTGCCTATTGACCCAGAAATTTCACGCTCAAAAATTTTATGACTGATTTTGACTCTGATGCAAATCATTTGCCCCAAGGAATCACGAAAATAACACAGGAGAAGAATTCTGTGTTTTTAAGCTTTTTTTTAGTGTTGTATACTGTATTCTAAAATCTGATATGCATTTACTTTAAGGTCTTTAATGTCCCTTCTGCAAAATAAATAGTATTTTAAATGGTTTTTAAAAAGGATAAGACAAATACATGGAAGCTAAGACTTTCAGGGGCTACTAGCCATGGTGGTTGTGCTCTGACATTGATGCCAAAATCCAGCATCACCTGAGCTCTGCAAGTGCAGCTTTCTCCCAATTGAAGTGCAGAGTGTTTGAGGACTGGGACATCTGCAGGGAAATCAAAATGCTTGTTTACAAAGCTATTGTACTACCAACCTTATTGTATGCTTGTGAAACATGGACCACTTATAAGCACCATCTACAGCTCCTTGAAAGATTCCAGCAACGGTGTCTCTGAAAACTTTTACAGATCACTTGGGAAGACATCAACTTCATTGGACTGGTCATGTTGCGTGGGTGCCTGATTATTGTCTTCCAAAGCAACTACTTTATTCTGAACTTAAAAATGGAAAGCGTAATGCTGGTGGTCAACAAAAGAGATTCAAAGACTCTCTCAAGGCAAATCTAAAAAAAGTAGTATCAATGCTGACAACTGGGAAACACTGGCCTACGAGCGCTCCAGTTGGAGAACAGCCTTTACCAAAGGTGTCATGGGTTTTGAAGACGCTAGAACTCAGGACGAAAGGGAGAAATGCGCTAAGAGGAAGGC